ATTTACATGTACCCTTACACAATTACTTTGAGTCAGTGAAAGAGTGATGTAAGCAGCTTTCCAGACTCTTGACATTTCATAAACCAGTGTTTTGTGGATGTTAATTTCTATATAGAGAATAGAATCTTGGAATTTGTGTTCTGGAGAGCAGTGTTTTTCAATATTGGAAAATCATATTTTCTTCTTGCCAAAAAAGACATCTATCTTAGCTGTTTTTATGATGGCTGAAGGTTCATAAACTTCTTGTATGCTTTCCATTGCCGTGGGGTCACATTACTTTTGGGAGCAGAGGTTCCAATGTAGGGGCAATTAATACTAGTATTTACTTATTTTTATTAAGTAAAAATGTATCCAGTCTCACTATGATATTCATAATTACACTAAAGGTCAGACTTTTTCTCAGGTTAAAGTTTTTTTGCTCTGCATCTCTTACTTGGCTGTGGCATTTGGTACTATTACAAGAAAATATAGATAAATTTTTTGTTTCATTTTGGAAATAAAATCTAAACTGAAATATGCAAAATCCTCTGAGAAGTACTTTTCATAAAAAATGAACCCCTCGTAGTGATTTGTTACAGTCTTACTTCATTTTACACTTCTGTGTGTGATCTGGTGTGATAGTTGGCTAGTTGAATTACTGTCTGTCTGAAAAGACAAGTGCTTGTAGAGTCTAAAGTGTGCCATTTTCCTTTAGAGGGGACCATGATGGGAAGAGGACGAAAGTAAGTTGTTTGCAAATTAGCAGTATAGGTGTATTTGTGTGCACCCTTAAAATCTGCAGGTATTCTGACAGAATGGCAGGTACAAAAGGTACAAAATTCAGAGGATCTGAAGATCCTTCTAGAAAACTCATCATTACTCAAACGCAAAATAAGTAGACATGTAGCCAATGGAGCGTTTAAGGAAGATAAAGTAGAACACCAGTTGCTGCTGTTTTGGTTCTTCTGGATGCTTACAATTCTTGGGTTTTTTTTCCTTCAGTAGTCTCAGTAGCCCACTTCCCTGGGTTAGCAGTAATTTTCTAATTAAATGGAATTTCAAAGACAAATGCCAGTTTCTCAATGCCAAAACTTGTCACAGAAAGGATTGCTTACAGTGGATCTCCGAGTCGACAGACCAGGGAGAAGAAAGGTTAGCTGCTGCAGCATTCTTTTGGCTCTGTAAACAACAGAGTGCCACAAATCTTACTGGCTTTGCAAACGTTAAAAGCTATTCAGCACCTATAAAATTTACTTAGTGTCTCAGGCCTAAGCTTGGGAACCACTCAGCAGTGGCAGTAAGTTGCAAGCTTGTTATCAGTATGTGGCTTAAAAATGCTAATATTATTGGACTTCAATCCATTGTCATCCTTGTGAAAGTGCCGGTCCTACAGGCATTCAAGTATTTGACTAGTCTAGTTTATTCATTTCACGCAGAGCCAGCCTAAAGTATGCCTAAAGCCATAGCCAGCCTAAAGTCACCTTGTGTACCTCAAAATATTTTACCAGTCCCTCTTGTCCAATCTTTCTTAATGTATGGTGACGCATTAAGACTCAGTTTCTCAAGCATGTTCTTTAACTTTTTTTTTTTCCTTCATTGAGAAGACAATCAGCTTTCTGACTAATAGTTTCAGATAAATGTGCTGTGTTCCACTGTGCTGGTATTCTCCAAAATCTACATCCTCTAGAAATCAGCAGGAAAGCTTAGAACAAAAAAGCAGTCCAGAAAAATAAAGAATACTTTTTCTAGGGAAGCTGTAGTGTCTACAGTAATTTAATGTAATTTTCAGCAGACATTTGATAGACATGAGGATCTGCGGTTTTCCAGACAAGTTACAGAGGACCCTCACTGCTGGGACCCGTGAACTCAAATGCATTTGTTCTTTTCCACACATTCCATCTCTGTTCCTCCCATTTTGTTTGCCTTGCCCATGATGATTTTGGTTTGTGTTTAGTGTTCTGCTGAAAAGTGAGTGAGCAGAGACCCTCCTGGGACACGTCACCTAAGTTTAGGTCTCTTTGCTAGTAACATGAATGTCTTAACTGCAGTTGTTTTTAATGCCTGGGAGTTTCTTTTGATACTAGGTGATGCAGATGTATCTCCCATTCTGTGGGATTGCCATATCCAATGCCCAGCTATTTGCAGCTTCAAGGAAGGAATACGACAGAAGCAGGGTAAGTAAAAAATGTGTATTGCACCAATATCAAACCTTCATCTTTTGTTCCTTCAGATTCTAGCTATGCATATGTGTTTGCTAAGCAGACAGTTTTAACTATGTTTTATTTAAAAAAATGCATTTTCAACAGATCACTATCTTGACTAAGGCAGCAAGCAGAGAGCGTGGGAGGGAAATACGCTCGTGGCAGTGGCTGTTGTTTCCTGATGTCAGTTCCATGTTTCGTAGTGCTGAAACAATTGCGTTTGTGACACAGACGGTGCAGGAGAAAGTGTTGCTTTGGCAGAGATTCAAACTCTCATAAAATTCCAGTAATATCAAACCTTTGCCATCCTGAATTTGTAATATTCAATTCATGTGCAAATAATGTGGATATATCTTTATAAAAGTAAGCAAGAAAAAACTGTATGTGAAGGGTTTTGACAGCATGTGTCTGCATAGATATATTACTCACATTACTCATGATTGCTGATGCCATGCATAAGTTGGGACAGGAGGCTCTAAAGAAGTGAAAATAATGCTAGGCTCACATGCCATTTCCTTCTCAGAGAGGTCTTTATTTTTTTATGAAATAAAATGTTAATTTTGAGGAGTTTTGATAATTGTTGGTTGGTTGGTTTGTTTGTTTTTTAAATCACCTTTGCTGCAATGATGGGAAATGACACTTTTGTTATCACAGATCACAGCTCCAAAGCTTCAGTAGAAATACCACTGGTAGTGCTGAACCTACTCTTGCTTCACAAAGCAAGGGAAACTACAGTGGGGTGGGTCTGTGTAGTGAGCAGTGACATTTATATATTCAGGATTTTGGTGCTTTCCCTTTATGGAAACTAATGCTTTCCACTACTTTGAAAACTAACAATAACCCTTTCTAATGGTGTGTATTTAAGGATCACGAAGCATCTGAACTTGTCTTCTGTCCAGGTCTGACTACAGACCAATATATTTTGGAGTGGAGATGTGGAGGAGACTGGGGGGGGGAACCAACAACAGAAACAAAAACCAAAAAAACAACTTTCTGCCAAAGACTTTTTTTCTTTGTTTGATTCTCAAACAAAATAATTGTTTGACTACATAGAGACTTAAAATTTGCTGCAGATTCTCAGCCTGCAGGGAACAACGACAGGCTTTTGAGGAGTTGGCGTTTAATCTTCTGAGGGAGGCATTCAGCAGAAAAGTATTAGGGACATTCTCATTCTTCATTAGAAAATGGTAAATTCTGGTGGTTGGACACATCAGGAAATCGGATTAGAGATAGAGATTCTTTGTTTCTAGTTGCCGCTTCAGCCATGTGAAACATAACAAATAACATTGGCATTTGACAGCTTCATGGTGGCCTGTACTTAATTGCATTCCTGACCTGTTGGTGGCCTTTAGCTTTGCCTAGTCCGTGGTTGAAACTAGTTGGCAAGTAACACATGATGGACAAGCCCATACTTTGCTTTCCCTATCAAACTGGACACCAATGGTGGCAACTTCCAGTGACGGTGACCAACATTTTGCTGATGACCACTGTGTAAGGAGACCAAAGACCACTAACATTTATATGCTTACCTATATGGGTGTTCTTTAGTGTCAGTGCCCTAAACCACAATAAAGGAAAAAGCACACTTCTTTGGACCCATGGTAAGAAAGAACATGGCCTATTATTTTTAAAGTTGTTGAAATGAGAGGGGAAGGCTTTCATTTTAAAACATTGAATTTTACAGACGTGTTGTTAGTAGTAAAGACTGGATCAGGGTGCTATTGGAATATGGAATTATTGATGTGTTTGTTCTTTCCAGCATTGAACATGTGAAATGGGTAATAAATGAATAAAATGGAGTTGAAATGCACCAGCAAATTCAGTATAGCAAATCAAGTAACTCAATCCATACTGTGTACTTGGAGAGTTGCATTACAGCCATTGTTTCATTTTTGGACCACAGTGAAATTGTTTGAGATTCCCATTGTTTGCTAGGAGTTGGATTGTGCCCAGTTGTGAGCTAAGAAATACTTGACTTCTTCCTTTCTTCAGATACCCCCACCCCAATTCTGTTGCTGTAATCATTAATAACTTTATTTGAATGACGATTTCAATAGATCACTCACATTACAATCAATCCCAGAGATTATGCCTCCTTTGCAATGCTCGATGTATTTATTAATTCTACAACCAATGCCAGAGTTTTGTGTCCTTGTATGCAGGCTTTACTGGAAGTAGTGAATGACCTCTTTGAGGAACAGACTGACTTAGAGAAAATTGTCAAGAAAATTATGCATCGGGCCCAGACTCTGCTAAAGTGTGAACGGTGCTCAGTATTACTTCTAGAAGATATTGAATCACCAGTAAGTATGGCTGCACATTCTGTAGAAATGCTAATATTTGAGTGGTGGAGCTGCTGCTTTTATTGTGGTGAAACTGTTTCACATCATATATAAGTACTGAACAGCAAGTATTCTTCCAGTACGTCATTCTTAAATGTATGTTAGGTACAGGTTGAATCTTTATTAACACCACTGTTGTGGTTTAACCCCAGTAGGCAGCTAAGCCCCACACAGCTGCTCACTCAGTTCCCTACCCAGTGCGATGGGTAAAGGAATTGGAAGGGTACAAGTGTGAAAACTCGTGGGTTGAGAGAAAGACAGTTCAGTGGGTAAAGCAAAAGCTGTGTGCACAAGCAAAGCAAAATAAGGAATTCATATGCTACTTCCAATCGGCAGGCAGGGATTCTGTCATTTCTGGGAAATCAGGGCTTCATCACATGTAACAGTTACTTGGGAAGACAAAGCCATAACTCTGAAAGTGCCTCTCTTCCTCCTCCTTCCCCCAGCTTTATATGCTGAGCATGATGTCATATGGTATGGGATATCCCTTTGGTCAGTTGGGGTCAGCTGTCCCGGCTGTGTCCCCTCCCACTCTATTGTGCACCCCCAATCTGTTCACTGGGTGGCAGAGTGAAAAACAGAGAAAGCTTTGACACTGTGTAAGTACTCTTCAGCAATAATGAAAACGTCCCTGTGTTATCAATGCTGTTTTCATCACAAATCTAAACCATGTCACCATACAAGCTACTACAAAGAAAATTAACTCTGTGCCAGCTAAAACCAGTATAGCCACTTTTTCAAATGGAAACTGAAAGGCACACTTATGATTCCTTCTGGTCATTTGAAGGCATTTAATGGGATGTCCGTAAGTTGCTGATGGATCTAACTATCAGTGGTGTGATCTAGTTCATATGCTGTGATTCCCAGTTGTCTGTGTGATGGAATTAGTGCTTAATACAGAGTAGCTAGGACAGCTGAACTGAGAAGCAAGGTGCTCCTGTGGGCTGCTTAAAAATGACCTGCTTTGTTACCAAATATTTATTTGCTCAGTTCCTTTCTTTCATGGTATAGCCACTAGAAGGAAAGAAAAATCTTGTTTGTATCTTCATTTACATTTACCTGGAATTTATGACCTTACTAACATTTTCAGGCTAATGATTTATCAAATGGGTGGTGCTTGAAAGTTTCAGAACCAGAAACAGTTGCATTATGTTGACAGCTGCCTGAACATGAGCCAGCAGTGTGCTCAGGTGGCCAAGAAGGCCAATGGCATCTTGGCTTGTGTCAGGAATAGTGTGGCCAGCAGGATCAGGGAGGTGATAGTGCCCCTGTACTCGGCACTGGTGAGGCCACTCCTCGAGTACCATGTTCAGTTTTGGGCCCCTCGCTACAAGAAGGACATTGAGGTGCTGGAGCGTGGCCAAAGGAGGGCAACAAAGTTGGTGAGGAGTCTAGATAACAGGTCTTAAGAGGAGCAGCTGAGGGAGCTGGGGTTGTTTAGTCTGGAGGAGGCTGAGGGGAGACCTCAACTCTACAAGTTGCTCTCTACAACTCCCTGAAAGGAGGTTGTAGCGAGGTGGGGGTTGGTCTCTTCTCCCTAGTAACAAGTGATAGGATGAGAGGAAACGGCCTCAAGCTGCGCTAGGGGAAGTTTAGGTTGGATATTAAAAAAACTTCTTACCGAAAGGGTAGTCAGGCATTGGAAGAAGCTGCCCAGGGAAGTGGTTGAGTCCCCATCCCTGGAGGTATTTAAAAGAAGGGCAGACGTGGTGCTTAAGAACATGGTTTAGTGGTGGACTTGGCAATGATAGGTTAACGGTTGGACTCGATCTTAAGGGTCTTTTCCAACCTTAACGATTCTATGATTCTATGATCAACCAAATCTTTAATACTCATTTTTAGAATTAACCTTTTCTGCATACATTCCAATAATTATTAGACATCTTTGTTGATATTTCTACAGCGTTCATACTTTTGCATCTGTTATTGTTGTTTAACTGTAGCAAACTGAAATAGTTATGTAGTTTCTATTCTAGTATGTAACATGTAATCAGACTGCTGGTGCCTCAGAAATAGCAGATAAAAATAAACTCATCAAGAGTTTGTTAACTGACCATCCTGTGTATTCAGCAACTCAGTGGGCTTCACAGCAATCTAATCAGTGTCTTCACAGTAGTCAGCTTCTGAACTTGTCTCATGAATGTTTTTTTTGTGAAATCCAGTATTTGAATGTGGAAGAACAGCAAGACGGTAAGGGCTGAACCTGCAAGACAGGGAGTTTTCTCAGCTACTTTTGATGGCCACTACTCCATGGGATTTGTTCCTTCCTGAAAGTTTTCCACTCACTCTAGCTGTTGGCAGGGGTATGTTTGGGAGTAGCTATGTTTGCACGTTTTAACAAGTTTCTTTAATACTTTGCCAAATAAATAATGAGAACCAGTCTCAGTTCCTAAATGATGAAAATGCTGTGAAAAGATAAGTCCTTTTGTTATTTTGACCTAGTAATTTTTCCCCAAGGTAACAGAAAATCCATTGGAAAAGACGCATTTGCATACAAATGTCTGGATAGTCGTGTACTTGTTCTTGTGATAGGAAGAAGCTTTGCATTGAGCAGGTGAAGTGAAAATATGACTTTCAGCATTACTGAAGTATGTTTGGTTTTTGCAATTGCTCTGTCCACTTGACCAAGGAATAACTATTTCATTGCAGAGCTCTGTTAAGTTGAACAAATGGACGTAAGCTATATGAAAGTATTTGTCAGGAGTTGGATTTCATGCACAATTTTGACAGGGGCTTTCACTGGGACTTTGTGGTACTGCCATTCATAGGGTATGAGAGCCTCTTTAGAAATGTTTAACATTTTTATGACTATTGTTATTAATAGTAAAATAAGTGACTGCCTTTATATTGGTAGCTCCCCTCAGTGCTTTCAGACTATTCAACACAAGCTCTCCTCCTTTCTACTGATTTGAGAAGTAGTGGAAGGATAAAAATGTTGCTTGTGATATCATTCTTTTTTTTTTTTTTTTTATTCAAGTATATTTGGATTCACTGACTCTGTAATTGATTATTTGTTGCTGGGCTGTGACAAGTCTAAATGATTATCAGAGACAGAATCATAAATTCGTGTGTATGGCAGAAAAAACCATTATTTTCTTTCCTGGAGGAAAAATATGATTCTCATTTCATTTAAACTCATAGAAATTAAGTACTTTCAGTGGAGTATGCCCTAAATTACACTAGCTTTCATAAAAGCAAGATCGAGGTTTGTATTTTGTTTGTATATTCTCTGTTATAGAATTCTAATGTTTCTAGTTTTTCTCTTTCTAGACCCCCCACACTGATTTTATAATTACAAGATACGGTTCTACTACATTCTTATGAAATGCCACTATGTTTGCAAGTATAATATGATTTTTAGTTTTCACAGAACAGTACATTATGTTAGTAGCAGGCTGTGGGTGGCATTGTTCACTTCATTTTTCTGCTCTTGGTACTATTTCTACCTTTGAGCATGGAGGGTTTTCTTCCAAACCATAGGCAATGAGTTCTCAATCCTCTAGACCGAATTCTGAAATGTGGACAGCCAAGGTATTCAGTTAAGCCTAAACTTTTTCTAAACAGTCATAAATCTTAGGTTAATTTGGAGTAGGAGAATAGCATCTTGCCACCCACTTGGTCATTTTTACAAGCGGCAAAACAGTTATTTTCCTGATTTCCCCCTATTTTGGAGGGTTAACCTATATATCAAAATAGATTTCCATAGAGATCTTAATGTTAAACCATGTCTAGAATATTGTCATTTGTACATCACATGAAAAGCTTTTACAATACAGAACCAAAGGGGAAGATGGAGACTCATACTAGCATCCAAAAACATTACCTGTGTTTTATGTCACATTAGCCACTCTTAAAATGTTTTACTTATGTGCTGTTGGCACACATGTTCAAGGAAAATTGGTTGCAATTAGTAGCGGAAATGGGTCTTTCTGTTTATTTTCCTGTATTAAAAAAAGTGAAGTTTGGGTAAAGCTCCATAATTCATGTTCCAAAGCCCGTTCCAGGGAAGCGTATACTGTTGCAGAAAATAGTTTCATGAAGGAATCTAAAGATATCATTTGATTTGATATTGTTTGTTAGTGAACTGTGTACAGTGTATATTTTGAACATGAATTCTCCATTGGGGGAGTACAGATTGGATTTTTATTTTAAGACCATTGGGTAAAAATATGGTTTAAATATAGGAACCTTACATTACTGTTTTCTTACATATTTATTCATCTCAATAACAATTTTAAGTTACTTTTTTTGTGACAGGTGGTGAAATTTACAAAATCCTTTGAGTTGTTATCTCCAAAATGCAGTGCTGATACCGACAACAGGTTAGTACTCATGTCTTCTGTGGTAATGGATTACTTTTATTTTTCACATAGTTTTAAATGTGCTTGATCATAGTTTTATTTTCTTATGGAACTTTGGGTAGACTTGATTGAAGAGTGTGAGCCTACAGTTTTTACTCAGACAAGACTCCTGCTTGCTTCAAATGGAGACTTGCTTGAATAAATATACATGCCTATATTTTTGTGTGTGTGTGTGTATATATGCACTAACATCGTATCAGCGTCTCGGAGAAGAAACCAGGAAATAACTGATGACTTTTTTTATGGTTGAACTCATGGAGAACACACAAATGTTGTTTTGCATAGTTAATACTGAAGTAAAAATTACAAAATTATTTTAGATTGATTGTTATCTCTTGCAAAATGCCTCCGTACAGTTGCGTTGAAAGGTTTCCAGTAAAATTGTATTTCTGCTTTTGTCATTGAGTGGGAAAGCCTGAAAACCTCAGTGTGAAGGGAGCAGCAGCTGCCCAAGCATTGGCACACCATTCAGGGAGTCGCGCACACGCCACCGGAGACTTGAACTGCTAGGACGGCAGCCCCTTCGCAGCGGGCACCTCCACTGAGCTGACGGGTGCCCCTTTTCGACTCCTCGCTCACACACATGCTCACCCTCGGCCGCTTTCTCTTCCCTCAGACTTGACCCTAGGTTTCCGTGAGTCAGTGTCTCCAACATGACGTACGCCAGGCAAATTTATTGAGCACTACAGCGGTGAAGAGCAGCTTGAGCTGGGTGCCTCCAGGGAGGGACCCTGAACAAAGAAATCCCTGGGCAATTATACCCTTGCAGTTTAAGTTCCCCTCCCTTCATGTGACTGTTTGGTCCAATAGTAATATTTGGGTCTGGGGTCTTCTTGTTCCTTATTGGATCCTTTCCCTGTCTCCAGGCAGGACATTCCTTTTCTTATCTTGAATAGTTGCAGCTTCTGCCGATCATTTCGGCTACCTTATCTTTCTGGTTTGCACTGGTTTCAGGGCCTTCCTTCACGTAGCTAAGTAAGAGTTCAGAACACAGCGTATCTAGGTGAAAGCTCACAGCTTGCAGTCTAAGGCTTCAACAGGTCTTTGGATTCTTATTTGAGCTAAAAAGTGACTTCTACAACATTCAGAGAATATGTATTTCCTAGAAATTGTGTTCCTGTGACTAAATCTTGTTTGGGAGCCCAGTCAAATTAGAAGTATATGTTTTGCTTAGTAGGACCTGTATTTAAACATTGATATAGGGCTAATTGTAAGTAGTAATAGAAAGAGCTTTTTGTCCGTGTGGGGTTACTGTATTAATTCCTACAAGATAACACAGCTGGTAACAGTTCACATAAAATATCCTACATACCAAATGAGTGGAGGAAGATTCAGGGCTATTGTGAGAAGGTTCCTCCCATCTTTCAGTGCCCAAACTCAGTGATTATCATACACATTTTATGCAAATCAACTCATACTGGTTCTGAATTAGAATTTTCCATGTCAAATTGCTGCCATAATGATAAACCTAGCCTTCTGTCCAACTTGCTATTCATAGCTTAGCAAACTTGAAGATTACTTTGTACTTTGCCATATTTAAGCCCTTTAAGCAGCTTTTAAAAATATGTTTGGGTAATTTGCTGTGTTTTGTGCTTTATTTCTTCACCTCCAGTGTGGTAAGAAGCTACCATTTCATTAAGGTGAATGTGCACATTGTACTCCAGATTACGACAGGTCGTAATTCTTAATGCTTTTCATGGATTGATCTCACAGCATTACAAAAATGGGTAGTGTTATTTTTAAGATGTGCAAGCTGACAGCAGAGTCCAGGGCCACACAGAAAGATAGGTAGAAGCTAGATCTCTTCCATGCCCTACCCACTAATTGAGAGATGGGAATGGTGAGACAAATGGAAAAGGAAAACAAGTGATAAAAAAATAGGAAGATTTAAATATGAATAAATAATCTGCTGATTCATCTGGGAATCACAAGTTACTGCTTTTGACAAAGAGCTTCGGAGTAGCAGTTGGTCTTTCCTAGGTCAATTAAATTGGTGGAAATACATTCCTTTTGTTCAGGGACAGGCATATGAATCAAGGGATGTGGTTCTTATTCCTGTTTTTCTCAAATTTGATCTGTAGCCAGATTAGTCAAAACAATGTAGAGTGGTGTCAAGATAACCAAGCTGGCTCATTTCTTGTTACCATAGTTATATTAGCATGTTACCAAAAAGCAATTTGTAGTAGCCTGCTCTGCATGTAGTCAAGTCAAGATTATTTTAGCTTTAGTCTGAGACTTGAATAAACACATGCAACCTGGTAGCTAGTCTGTATAAGATTTATAAAGGTATGTTTCTGAGCATCTTAATATAAAGATTTATTGCTTTTTCTTTCATTTTTCATCCAGTAGAGAGTGAAGTTGGTTTTACAAAGACCAAGGTTAGACTGGCAGATATGATGTCACATTTGGATCTAGCACAGGCACAGCTTGAGTTATTGGCACTATAGAGGGAAAATAAAGGTTATTTAGGATACGGAACAATGCCGCGAGCCCTTGACATTTGAGCATTTTTCTAGTGAGTTTTGCCCTTTTCATTCTACATTCTGCAGCCCTAACTGCTGTAAAGTCATGAGACATTTCATGTGGAAAAAAATGGCAAGATGAGTTTCTTCATCATCATACCAATGAAGACAAATATTATTTCTTTGAAATTTTAGTGGAAATCCAAAGAGATTATAGGCTGAGACAGTTCTAGTTATAAGTTTTTTATCTGAAAGAGAGAGAAGCTCCAAGGACAATATAACTTTTCATGTCCTAACATACTTTCTCACATAGTTTTAGAAGAAATTGGCTTTTCTTTTGCCCTTCTTACATCTGGCTAGTAGCAGTTCACCTGTTTAGTCTCTAAATATTATAATGAATACTCCTATCTTTTTTCTTTGCTGTTGGTTGTAAAGAAATACCTTGCAAGACCACACTTGCATTTATTTGTTCAGTTTGCAGTTTTCCAGCACACACCATGATCAAGTTTGTTTATTATCCATAATGGCACACTGATGTTCTCCTTCTTGCCATTTTGTTCTCGAAGTAAAGGTTTGCCAAGTCTCCTAAATTTTCTCTCCCTTTGAAAAAAGATTACAAAAATCTTAGAAGCCTTGAGGGTTCAGTTGTGATGTATTCTGGATGAAGATGAGCCTGAGGGAAGGTGCTGTGGGCTATGTCTTTCCTGCACAGAAGTCATCTTGGCAGATGATGTAGCTGAGATTACAGCTCTCTAACCTGAGTACCACTGGTAGCGGAAAGGTCAGCTGCCTGAGCCAGAGCATGGGTTGCGTGGGAGAAAATATCTGTGCTCCCTCCCAGTTGGGCTGGTACAGAGAAAGTGCTGAAATGCCTGCTACTGCTGTTTCACCACTACTGTGCCTGGGATGATGTGCACTCAGGTACCACCCCATTCCCTGCAGTATTTTTATGCTTCTTAAGGCATCTTTCTGCTCCACTAGTCCTAGGAGCTGGAAGGGTTCATGTCACTGTTTAGAGAGGATTGAAGGTACCTGGGATTTTGGCTGTACCACTTCCCTACTGTACTTTTTGCCATCTTTGGGGAAGATAGCAAGGCAAGCAGCTGCATAAGGGGAGTCTGCAACACTGCTCAGTGCCCTAGAGCTGCATTTACTCTCCTGCCTGGCATGCAGAGGTCCTGCTTGTGCGTGGGCAAGACAGGGAGATGGTGGCATGCAGCTGCCTGCATCAGTCCAGCAGGACTTACTCACGGCTTTCCACAATTTGGAGAAAATTGTTGCTTGTGATTTTTAGAGTAGCTTCTTAGTGTTCTTTGCTGCTGAGGATGGAGAGAGAGCCAGCTGGTTGTGATTTGCATCAGAATTAAGCATTGATATTTCCTGCTAGTGAAAGTTGAGTGCCTCTGTTCCACAGTATAGTTGTAAAGCACTTGCTAGCAATGGAGACAACATAGTAGAACATACTTTTAAGTCTTCTTCCTGAATTATATCTTGTTTCTTTTACTTGAATTCATTTGCTGCTTAAAATCCTTGACACCCATAATCCAGTCCCAATTTAAAGTGTCTTATATTATAATGGTAATATCATCCAGACTTTTAAGGTATGAGCTGAGAACTATGCATTTGAAATTAGATTCTTATCCTTAAAGATTTTTTTTTTGCTTCTCAAGTATTGATGTCCTGAAATAAATTTTTAATTATAAACATGAATTTTTTACTTAGCTCAAAAACCATTATATTTCTGTAAACGTTCCTGTCAAAGTATACACATAACATTTATTAGTCTCCCAAAACTCTTATCCCAAATGAAAGTTGATACACTTAGATTTGTGTAAATCATTATTATTATCTTTATTTATAGTCTTTTCAGAATATTGAGTTTTCTTTCAAATGAGTGACTTAGTTGAATTGGTCTCCAGAAAAATCAATGCAGCCAACAAAAATCAATCCTTTCACTTTGATTGAGTCTTCCTAGCGTTTTACTGTGCATCCTTCTTTCATTCATGTGCATTACTTTGAAGCTTCAAGCTATTGTAGTCTTGTCCATGGTTGCTCACAGTCACTTTTTTTCTAAGTGATGTTTCTCAGGTGTTGAAAATTGATCAGTTTTCTTCTCAAAACTAAGACAACATGCATTAGCTTATTCACACATGAATAGCTACTCCTTGCCAATGTCAAAAACCTGCCTGCAATAAGTCAATGAGAACTTTCCTGCTGATTAGATGAGGCATAAGGCGAGGACTCCAAGGTCTGTGTAGATATTGAATTCTCTGGAGAAGCTGTGGTGGTGTGGTGAGTTGAGCCCATAATTCTAGTGTCTTATGCTCGTTTACTGACAGCTCTCTAGCCCCTCACTAGTTCTGGCAGAAGCTCAACCAGGAAAAAAAGAAAGGAAAAATTCATGTGTTATATGTCTACTTGGATCCACCCGCTGCAACACACTTACATTATTGATTTTAAGAGTTATTTCATGATCCCTTCTTCAGCCACTCAGGTCTGGCACTTCAGACCAAAATTTAAAAAATGGCATTTCCCTTGATGGAAAAATTATTGGAATTATGAATTTAAAATACCTCAAATTGTTATACTAATTTGAAAAATTAAAATCTTAAAATTATATACTTTCAGGTAGCTTTACAGAAAATATTATTTAGAATTCATTGCTTTTGATGAGCAGGCCTGTATCCCACAGAAACTTGGAATGTAATCCTACTCTTGACTCATATGTAAATGAATTTCATTATTAAATGCTGTATTTCTTCACTTGGGAGACCAATGCTATTTTCAATAGAAAGAATTGTGTAAAGGAGAGAATTTTTTATATACTATTTCAATAAATACCAAATTATTGTTCTGTAGATAATGCTTAGTTACGATTAATAACTGTGAATGGTTCTGCTGTTCCTATAAGTATGCCTGTAAGTCATGCTGGACTTTCAAGCAACATTGACTGTATTCTTCTCTTCCCTTGTTATGCCTTTTGATAGTTTCAAAGACAGCATGGAAAAGTCACCATCTTATTCCGACTGGCTAATAAATAATAGCATTGCTGAACTCGTAGCTTCCACGGGTCTCCCAGTGAACATCAGTGATGCCTATCAGGATCCTCGCTTTGATGCTGAAGTAAGAGATTTTTAGAAATGTAAATATACATCACATTTTTGGCATTGCAACTAATATAACACAATTTTATCGTTATATCCAAGTGGCTGTAAACTGTGAATATTTACTTTGAATTATTTTTTCTATCTAGTATGTCGTCCTTCTGATCTGCTGGTGTTGACATGGCTTTATACACTAAACACAAGTCACTGAATTAGTGTATGATTTTAGGCAGTTACTTTGTCCATAATTCTTTTTTTTTTTTCCTTATTTATAAGTGATACCTTCCTCTATCAAGTGCTTTGATACTTATGCAAACTGATTTTTACTGCTAAAAATTCTGCTGTTGGTGTTCAGTGTTAGCAACACCATCGCTGTTAGCTGTTGGGGTGACTGGGACTGTACACACACAGAGTATAAACAAATCCAGTATCTAGAGAGACAAATGTTGTTTGTGATCTAACTTAGCCAACTAACCTTTTAATTTGCACAAATAAAATATACACACTGGATTAGTTATTTCTCCAAGGTACAAATCACACCTAATAAAAGTTGTTTGTGTACCCTAAGGTATTCATTCCAGCCTCAGTTAGGAACACATAGATACAAATAAAAACACATACATATACTTAACACCTAAATAAATGTTAGAGGCATATGGAAGGACAAAATCTTCACTGAATTCTATCCAGTGAAACAGTATTACTATGGGGGACTTGGCCAGCAGTTCAGCATCGCATTAATCAGCGGACAGCCTTGGTCAGCAAGCTTGCCAAACTATATTACTACACAAAGTGTGCTTGGAAGTGTTTCATGTTGAGTTTGCTTGGTTCCAGTTTTATTCCATGTGTCATTAAAGGGATAATCTCTCAAACCAGCAGAATTTGTCAAAACAAGAAAAATAAAAGGGGTCTGCTGTAAAAGCGTACAGGAAAAATGTGTTGATGCTAATTTGTTCAGAATTTCAAAAAGTACAATTAATGCCTGCGGTCTGTTTCTTGCCAAAGAGATATGCTAAAATAAAGCATGCCAATCTTTGATATGTTTGTAGTAGTACTTTTAATATATAATGTCCTGAATAATTCAGCTCTCTTATTTGTTTCACAGTTAGTCCTTTCCAAGTTAGAGGCCCTGCCCAATTTATATAGAGAAAAAGAAAACACTTAATACAAAGGGCAGTAATTATTTTCTGTTGGTGGGTTCCTATGAAAATTTAATTCTTAAATTCAGTTGTTACAATCAATTAGTTCTACAGACAGTCAAGTGTAGTAAGAGGAACATATCCCTTATGACTTAGATAGAATCAAGCATACATTTGTAGTTACAAAACAGATATTCTGTTCTCTGCTTGTATTAAAAACACTCTCTTTTTTTCTCCCAGAACGCTAATTGTCATTTTCAAATGTTGATGCTCAATTTTCAACTCATTCACTGAGAATTTAATGCCAAAGTATTTTCACTGAGTTCATTTTAAGATATACATCTGAGGCAATTGTTCCCCCACTCCCATCTATTTCAGGTGGCACTCCACGCTGATTTCAGTGATGAGTTCTGAGTATGTACAAATAAGCAGTACTCTAGTAAAACCTGAGTTATATCTTTTGCTAGCTAGGAGATCGCAGTGATCCCATCCTGCTTCCAGTTTGTGAATTATTACAGGTCTTTTCTTGTGTTACAGGTTGCCCGTAGCACTGGCAGTTTTAGTAAGAGAACATCTCCTGATCTCCTCTGAGTGGGTTCACCCCACTCTCTAATCTCTTTTGAAATAATAACTTTCTTTTCTTCAGAATTTTTCAGCAATGACCCTAAAGAATAAAGCTTATTAACCATAGAAAAAAGAGAATCGGTGACACTTATAATAAATTGCAGAGTTTTATACTATATTAGATAGAAAACAATAAATGAGGCAGAAAATTCTCTTCAGAACTACAGGACCAATTAAACCTACATAGAAAATCTCAGATCTTGGTTTTGACTTCATCCTTCCATTTCTTCCTGGCTTGCACTTCTACACAATTCCCTACTTACCCTTGCCTTTCTTCTGAAAGTGCTTTTTTCCCGTAAGCCCCCTTTTTTAGCTGCATTGCTAAATCCAATTTCAGTTTGACAATTGGGAAGAGTATTTGTAAGGCACGCTTAGTATTTGTAAGGCACGCTTATTCAGTGGAGGTTGTCTCTACTAATCCACCAGTGTGTAAATTATCTAGGAATTGTCTGGACCTTGCCTCAATTGCAGTTTGTCTTTAATTCCAAATCAAATAGTGTAAGCTTTCTGGGGCAAAGACCGTGATGTTCGTATTTTCTTTGGCAATTCTTAGAATAATCCTTGTGACTTTTGGTTAATCTTACTGTGAATGAGGTTTCAGCAGAAATTTTTTCTGAGTGAGAGCTGATCCATATGGAATGACATTTGTAAATGTAAACTTACTCCTTGACATTTCTATTACTAGAATGTAAAAGGCTGCAAATGGTACCTACTGCTGATAGAAGCTCTCATTTCTGTGTTTTAGGCTGACCAGATTTCTGGCTTTCACATAAGGTCTGTTCTGTGTGTTCCTATATGGAATAGCAACCACCAAATAATTGGTAAGACCTTCCTTATAGCTGCGTCATTTTTATGCTAACGTAAATTTAATTCTGTCTTTTTAATTCTATGTTCCTTTTTCTTCTTTTTCCCAGCTGAATATTGTTAAGAAGTTACGGTACCTAGGATGCATGCTAAGTATCCAAGAAGGGATGTTTTGACTTGGATACTGTATGGACTTTTTCAGCTTTCCCATTGTGTCATTGTTAAGTTGTATATTGTATTGAAACTTGAAGACTAATGAGATGAAAAAAAAATTCTAACAATATTAATGAAAAATGTTTGATACGCTTTGATACTTTTCTTGGGTCTCCCTTTTTTGTACACAACTCAGGCAACTGTTTCTGCAGTCCAGCAAAAAGTGGTTATTTTCCTCTTTAATGATAAACTGCACAGTCAGGGAAGACTTAGGGGAGAGGCTGTGGCAGCTGTCAGAGTTGCCTGGGGCAGTGGTGTGCGCTGGATCGGGACGTGACTGGGTTTTATTGCTTGTTTGATAGGATGCTTCTCAGCTATGATACACCTGCAATTGGCCCTGCATTATTACCTGCTTTTGGCACAAAAAAGAGCACCATTTGAAAATAACAGTGCCAGATTTCTCTGTAACTTTCCACAGAAGAATTCAAGTCAAAGCGATAGCAATTTAAGCCAGTAGGGCAAGACTTACATCCCTGTGTGTTGTGGCTGTCAGTGAGAGTTGCGATCAGTAGTGCATTGCTGAAGGTGCTCAGTGCCATGCAGGATCAGGATCTTTGAGCTTATTCAGCAGAGATGATGTGGGAATTGAGTCTTTTAAAAATATGTCTCATTGTTTGTGAAGTGCATATTACCTTAAAGTAGTAGAAAGAAACGGAACCGTTGACTGCTGATAACTTACAATATTTTTCTAAGGGCGTATTGTAGTTAAATGAAATAGAAATGGTTTGTTGCAGTAGCACTCAGTATTAGTTCAGCTAGAGCCAAGAGCTTTGAACGCTTTTTCTTTTTCAAGTGGTTTGAGGAAATTACTTTTTTTTTTTTTTTTTTTCCATTGGTTCAATAAATTTATGGACCACTCATGAGAAAAAAAAGGACTTATGTATCCAGGTCATGCAATGGTTTGTTGCAGTAGCACTCAGTATTAGTTCAAGACGAGAGAGCTTTGAACGCTTTTTTTTTTTCATGTGGTTTGAGGAAATTATTTTTTTTTTTTTTTTTTTCCATTGGTTCAATAAATTTATGGACCACTCATGAGAAAAAAAAGGACTTATGTATCCAGGTCATGCTAAGCCAACTAAGATTTTTAAGAATGAAGGTACTGATTGAGCAAATTATATTAGTAACTCCAAATTGCTAGGACAACTTACATGATTGCTGTTAGCAAAGTGCTTAAGTTCTTTCCCAACGAGATCTTTAACCTGTTATGAAAAGCATTGTGAGTAACTTTTAGATTTGCAATATTATACTTGGAGAGTAAAGAATAACAGCTGAAAGTAATAAACTCAGTCCTGGTATCACAACAATCAGACTTTCACATGTTTATGTCAGTTTAATGATTTTCAGGATAAATATTTGCAGTTTTGCTTTTCAGTTTGAAAGATGTATTTTAAATGTTACCAATGAATAAAATATTCTGCATTGTGAATTAATGAATGAAGATTATAATTCATATTAACTCTTTCCAAAGGGGTAGCTCAAGTGTTGAACAGGCTTGATGGGAAACCCTTTGATGATGCTGACCAGCGACTGTTTGAAGTAAGAGGCATTCAATTTTGTAGAAATAACTTACTTTTTGAGCACAATTTGGTATTTCTGGCTAATGCTGCTTCAGCCTGCTCTAGGGAGGGGGGAAGAATATGTCTGTATTTGCGGTTTGATGTTAATTCTCGGAACTCCTCACTTAATAAGGTTGCATCCTAATTAAAACAGGTTTCTTGCATCTGATCTTTCTCATCTTGATGAGGCCAGTGGCTTACCTGCATTCTCAAGATTAACCTTTCTAAGCCTGATTATTCCTAGTAATTTCCATGCAATTCCTTTTCATTATTAAGGCAGCATTCATCTTTGTGTTTATATTAATTGACCTTCTTCTCTTTTTTTCTCTTTTTAATTTTAGGCTTTTGTTATTTTTTGTGGCCTGGGCATCAACAACACAATTATGTATGACCAAGTGAAGAAATCCTGGGCAAAACAGTCTGTGGCTCTTGACGTATGTGTACATCTTTAATGAAACCTTTTCTTGCTCATAAGTGCTACATGTAAAGGAACCTACTGCTTCTGAATTTATTGTAGTTAGCATCGTTTTCTATATCTACCTTTCTGCACCTTAGAGTGTTGTCTTATTAAAGTAATGCTGAAGGGAAACTTTCTCAGGGTATGCTTAGCTGTGGAGCTCATGCACAGCTTAAGTAATTTTGAACCTGGATATCTCATTTGATGCCTGTGGTTTTTTTACATTAGAAGGGGGAACAGTGATGGTGGAGAATCTAGTTTCTTAGACATGTAAGTGTAGGAATTAATCTAGGTGTTAAGTATTTTCTTGTCCATCAGTAACTGAAAATTCCTTAGCATCTGATATATTAGCTTGGTTTTTTTCTAGTGTTGTAAAGTGTAAGTAAAGCATACTGTGAACAGGACAAAATTTGAAAAAAGTGATCATCATCATAGGGTTTTTTAGTATCAAAAGCAACATCTGCTGAACTCTTATCAGATATGTCTTGCTAGAATAAAGTCAAAGCAGGATGGCTGGCAGCTCAGTAAGAGCTCTGCTGTGGGTCAAGGCCAATACATAATGCAAGGTCTTGGCATTCCAGCACATCACATCTTTCTATAAAATACATAGAGTAGCTAAATGGATGGAAAGCTTTCTCTTTTGCCCATTGCCTTTGTAGCAATTTTTTTTTGTTTCCACCCTCCCCCGCCCCAATGAAGAATGAAATCTACTAGCTCCTGTAAAACTCTAAAATGCAGAACATTTAAAAAATTATGATTATTTAAACATCTATAAGCTGATTCAACAATAAAGCACTATTCTCTATTATATTCTGGAGATTTAAAACATTATCATACTAAAAATAATCTTGGTGAGAACAAAGCTTGGAGTTTTGAGGATAGCTTTACAAATTTACGTTTTTCCCACTAAAACAATAATTAAGAACTGTCTGAATGAAATTTAAGATATTTTAAAAGCATTATGCAGGACTGATTAAGCTTAAAACATTCCTCTGATGAAAGGGTAACGTGGCTAAGATTTCAGTATTGTTTTAAATTTCATATGTGATAAGAGAAGAAAATGATCTAGCTGTCCCTGATGTGTGCACCCTTTAACTGTGTAACTTGAGTGTATACAGTACCCACCATGACAATAAGAACTACAAAAATAGTGTTGGCCTGATTGAGATATGAATTTCTCTCTATTAAAACAAAAATCAAACCAAACTGGATTGCTATGAAGATGGCATAATTTTTTTTCTTTGCTTTAGGGTTGGAGATATTTATCTGTGTATTGGTGGTGTATCCTGTAAAGCACGTAGGCATGTTAAGGCTTTTTGAAGTGAATAGGACTGTTTGTGTTAGAAAGCATTCTAAGCATAAGTGGCTTTTTTATTATTCCTGTATATGTATTCACTTAGGAGGAAAAGTTTAAAACTTACCTTTTCAGGCCTCCTGCAAGATTCCTTATTCTTTACATATCCTAGTCATGAATTACTGTAAGTCCTCATATGCCCCGGATATTTGTGCAATATTACACCCTAGAATGAATACTCCTCCTGGCAAGAAAAACAAGCAAAGCCAACTATCACACTTGGATACATAGGGATGAAAGTTAACATAGAAGTTTTGTTTTTTATTACTGAAATCAAGGAAATTTAAATTTCTTGGTTTAAAATAACAGCTTCTTTCTTTGACCTAAAAAAGACTAATAGCCATATAGCTTGAATGTAGATTATAAGTTTGATAAATGGCCACTATGCTTCAGTGAAGAGTAATTCTTTCTATAAATGAGCTACAACTCATGATAATATTTGTGTAAAGTGATTGAAGATACAGCAGGAAAGTACTGAACAAAAGAATGGTGTATGCTGGAGGACTGTGAATCCATTTTTCAGTAATAGAATACTTTATTAGTATTTATGTATTTAGCTAGGATGGCAATGAGTGGCATTTGAAAATGACATTGATATCAGATGTAAAATAAATTGATTTGGTGTATACGGATACTGTTTTTCATATAGAATTCTCATAAGATTGACTAACAAACAGAAGACCAATATGCAAATAAACGATGGGGAAAGGTTGACATAGGATGCCATATGGTTCAGAATGAGGCTAAATACTATTTTATATATTAAGGATGCAAAATTTGCAAATGATGAAAAGATTAGAATAATCAATATTAAGGAAGACTGTAAAAATCTAGAGGAATATAATGAATGTAGACAAAGGAGAAGCCTGACGAGAATTTTGCTATTAAGTGTAATCTGTCATAGCAGAAGACATAATTTTACTAATCTTACAGATTTCTGAGAGAAGCTACTATATGGTTGGACAGAAAAATTTGAGAAAGGACATGATATATAGATATAGAAAGTAAAACGTGGGACAGAGCAAATAAATTGGTATTTGTTATTTATTCTTTTATAGTGCAGGAATGATTTCCTGTTACTGTAAAAGATGACACCTCTAAAATTGATATGAGTAAATACATCTTGGGTCTTATTGCCACAAGGTATTGCAAGCCAAGGGCATTTGAGATAAAGTTTAGGTATTTGTATCAGTAACAGACATTTGTAGATGAAAACAATTTCAAAATGAGAAATATATATCAAAGCTTTAGCACATAAGCAGATTGTGTGGTAAGGAGGATCTGTCCTTGCTAGGAGCGCTCTGGCTCCGTGAGCTCCCTCATGGACCAGCACCTCGTCCCATGCACAGTCAGACCTTGGTGGGTCTGGTACACAGGGTGGCTCTTGCACCTTCTGGAGTGCTTGTTCAACGTTAGTGTCACATAACGATACAATGTATTCCATGTAAATGTATGCATACTTACAAGTACTAAGAGGAGGTGTGCAGTACCTTGTGCATTGTATTTGATGCTTTCATCTCCGGAATGGTATCGAAGAGAATGTCAGGCATAGCATAGAGGTGCTAATTTGCATGCAGTGATGTGCCACTAGCAAAGGCATTAAAGCTTTACGGTATAGCAAAAGGCATTATTTAAAGTCTGTAAATCTACTGTTATTTTTACATTAAATTCTTTCTCTTTTAATTGTAGAACTCCAGGAGAACAATGTAGGAATGCTTATAATATTAAATTACTTACTGTCCATGATTCCCTATAAAATTCCCCGCAACATAAATGCCAAAAGTATATCTGATAACCTGCAATTAGTTATTATATGCTGACATTCAGAACTGAATTACCATGCATAAATATTAATTAAATTTGTTTTAAACATCATTGATTAGACTGCAGTACAAAGCGCTATTATTTCTACTTGTCAAGTCTACAAAAATGGTTTTTTTATCTTTTGTTCTGGGGCAGGTGTTATCTTATCATGCAACATGTTCGAAGGCAGAAGTTGATAAATTTAAGGTAAGATTTAAGTTTTTAGTTATTTCTGAAAACATAACAGTAAATTAAAATGGATGTAGATTATCTGAGTTTTACATCAAAAGCAGAAATCATAATTAACAATGATTTACAAAGGATGTATTACATGTTAGGGAAGGCGGAAAAAAAAAAATCTTTCAAAGAGCTGCAGTGATGAGTGCACAGCGGCAAAATACTATTGTCCCAGCACCAGCTGCTGGAATTGCACATTGTCGTGGGTTTGCTGGCCTCCTCAGCAAAAACCACCATAGTGAAGTCATACCACAGTGGGTGGTGAGGAAGAGACTAGAGAAAATGAGAGGAACTTGAGACTTTACATGCTTATAGTGTGGAAGGTGTCCTGTGTTTACTAAAAAAAGCAGAGCATTCCCTATCAAGATTGTGCGTAGACTCAGAAGGCTGGATGTGAAGGTGAGAAATCCTCTTCTAACTTCTGTAAGTGCTCTGGGCAGAACTATAAAGTGATGTGTGCTGAACATAGCATTGCTAGGGACCAATCATTAAGTATTCTCACCGAATCCTGCCTTGCCAAGGGGTAGAGAGTAGGGGGAACAGTGACCTCGCTCTTTCATCGCTGCCAGCACTCCAGAGCTGCTTTTCTGATAGGCTTCGTTTGTCCTTTTCTGCTTGAGGAAACACTAGGGAAACTTGGTGGCACTTTCGTTGGCTATGAGGAGTCAGTGTTGTACAGGACTACTCAAAGCTGTTTGGGAGGCTCTCGTGGTGGGTATCAGTGTTGGTCTCCTGTACGCAAAGTGCACCGGAGACTGTGGTGAGGTCTGCGAAGATCTGGACTGTTGTGACCCTGCACTGCTGGCTCTCCCTGCTGTGGCTCCCTGGCACCTATGTGGCTGAAAAAATAGCTGTTTGATGGTTCTTTTGACCCTTGGCTGGCTGGCTGCAACCCAATCTCTGCACCATGGGGATGGTCGCGGTGTAAGGGTGACTTAACAGAGCTGATACTGATGAGTTACCTGGGTTGAGGAAGGGCAGCTATTGCTAGTTAATTAGTTTGTAGATTATTGCCCAAATGATGGCCATGCCTTAGAACTCTGTATCAATACCTGGTGATAAGGGTGTAATATTCTTCCTCCATTGTAGTTATTCGTGCAGTTACCCACCCTTTTGTAAGCTGAAGATTAGATTACTGAATTATTTCTGGAATCAAACACGCTTGAAGATCATTCCAACACTGCAGCCAGTAGAATATACTTTTTTGTGCTTAATAAGTTGTATCTTATGTTTGGCAAAAAGAACACTGAAAGCTGGGTGAGAGAAAGAGGAAAGAAAGGGATAAAGGACCATACTTTTTTTTTTAAATTTTATTTTACCTTAGAATAAGCACCTCTAATACAGCTTCTGTGTATCTTCTATATCTTTCTACATACCAGATGTCCATACTTCTTGGTTGCTGTCAGCCATTGAAAGACAATTCTCCATCATGGTCTGTGTAGTTGAAATAAAAGCCTGCTATGTTACTCTTTGGACTTAGATACTAGTGTGATGAGGAGCTATTCTACTTCTTTTCCCAGGTGTCTTCATTAATAGATTTGTCAATCTCCAAGTAAGGAATGTCTTGTTATTATCCACTTACTATCCATTTAATGGTTAATGATAAGTTAAAGGGAAATGAAAAGCATTCATTCGTAAAAAAGCATTTATTCATCAATAACCCCGATAAATACATTTTTATAGAGAACATAGATGAGAAAATGAGGAATATAACCAAGCTATGCTTAAACTAAGCTGAGATATATTTTCAGAAAAATATTCCCTTTCCTATATCTGGTTGTTTCACTTTCAATTCCTGACACACAGAGTGCCAGGTAGTCTTTGTTAATGCTTTACACCTGTAAACAAGACAAAACAACAAAAACCCAGAGAGGACCAGCATGTCTTGTGGGCCTTCAACAGAGAGCTCATCCCCAGAGAGGGGCCATTCATCCATGGGATGAAATTGCTCCCGTCTGCCCCCTTGCAGAGCCCTGGCAGCCGGTCTCCCTGTTGAGGTCTCCTGGGGCATCCTACCCTGAAATCACTACTTTTTTCTCTGTTCATTATATTGTTATATTTTGTATAAGCCCTTTGTTATATTAGGGTCATCTTCTAGACTTGACTGGCTAATAAACAATTCCTCCCTCTGGGGGTGTTTGGGACTAAAACTGTCCCTTCTCCCTTTGGTGATTTATTGGCAGATGTCAGAGGAAATGTGTGTTACGATTTACCTGATGTTCTGGTTCAGTCAGAACAGGAACAAACACACATGATAGCAACATCTAAATGAGAGTAATGCCAGTAGTCCACTACTGGATCTTGACTGACATGGGACCTAACAGTAATTAATGACTTTGGAGTGACAATACATTTGAGTTGACAACTTTTCAACATATTACCCCAAACATACTGTAACTGGACCCCAGCAGCTTGGAAATAATTACATATTCTTCCTCCTTGTTCAAGTTGTTTATTTCCATCTTTGTCATCTTATGTCTTTATAGTCTTAAAATGCTTTTCCATTAATTTTTATTTGCCTAAGATCTCAAGAATATTCTGATACAAAGTGAAAAATTGCAAGTGTACTTGAAGTTTATTTTTCCTCTGGCTTTTACCAGTGAATTAATTTTATTGCATTACAGAAAGCCTAGCAAGACTAGTTAAAGTTGATTTTTTTTTTACTTGAAATTTTGTCAATAATTTCCTACTGTTATTGGATGAATTAAAAAATACACAAATTCACAAATATACCTGGTATCTTTTTAAGAATTAAACGTAATCACTGTGAGCAGGTTCTGTAAAATAAATAACATTTATTTCTGTTGCTACTAATCCTGGCTAAGAATTAATGAAATGACAAAAAAAAAACTCCACCTTAATAAGAAACCCTTAAGAAATGAAATACCTTTCTCCAGATGCTATGATGGGAAAAAGTGCAGAGCACCATTGGTTGTGGAGCTGGAAAATACAGAGGAAAGTTCACAGTATGGAACACTGAAACATGAGTGTATGATAATGGACCATGTCATGCAATTGGCCTATTCCATATCTGATGGCTACAATTGTCTAAAAACAAAGCAGCAACATAAATTCACATTGAACGTTTTTTTGCTCATTTTTTAAGGGATTCCACTTCTGGTGTTAACTAGAATATAGCTTTCAATAATAAAAATCTGAAAGCCAAGTTTAAAAATGCTTATATGATTAGAAATTGTTCTATTAATGAATGGATGTTTTCTTTTTCTCGGAAGATAACCCAATTACGTGAATCATTACTGTAAAAATTCATCTCACCAGTCCTTTTCATTATTTGCATTAAAGCTTTTGGGATTCATTAGCACTTAGGCTAGCAGGCACACGTTTCTCAGGAGGCCAGTGCAAGCAGGACCCGGTGCAAGGCTCGGACGCAGCATAGGGCAGGCGCAGGTCTGCTGACCTGGGTGGAGCCACCCACTCAGCCTGCTGCCCGCGCCCAGGGGAAGTGGGAATGGAAAATTCACACTCTTAACACAGCGAGCTTGTTTTAGGGATAAGAGAGGGGGCTTAGTCCTCCAGGTAGACACAAGTGAAACTGCAGAGATCTGGATTCAGAGCCTGAGCAAACACCTCAGTCTCTGTAGGTGATAATCTGGCCCTGGGGAAGGTTAATGGGAGGTTTGCCATTGATTTCAGCAG